AAAATAATATCCTAAAAACATAAGAAACAAGTAAATATGTCAGTCTGAAATACGTTTCCTGAGAACTGCTACTTTATGGAAGTGACACCCACATAGATACTTCCCTGAACACTGCAATCTTAACCTCTGCAAATCAAGGGAGAATCGTTATCTATATTCCTTATCGTCATGTTTTTCACTTCTTTCACATTACACATCTAATTCATAATAAACATTTTAACAGTAATCCGCTACCTTGAGTGGCGCTCGAGCTTTGTATCAAGTTCCCTTTATTATCAATACCTTAAAACATCAATGGGACCCAGCTAAAGTAAACCAGTAAATTCAAATATCAGCAGCATATTTACTGAAAACGGCAAACTGGACAGAGAGATCGAGACCAGATGTCAGAAAGCCAACGCTGTCAGTTACTAACTTGCCCCTCTTCTAAAACATCCTAGCATTTCCATGAGCAACAAGGCAAATCTCATCAACGCCATTTTCCTACTAACGCTGACATATCAGTGCTAGACATGGCCCCTAACAAAAACTCTTGAGAGGAGACTGATCACTTGTGAGATGAAATGCCTGGGGAAAGCAGTGAACAAGACCAGGCGAGACAAGATCAGGAATGAGGCAAGAACAGATATGGTAGGAGCAATACCAATCATACAACACATCGAACGACAGAGGACCAAGTGGTTCGGACACCTCACTCGTATGCCTATCAACCAATCAGCCCTACGAGTATACACCCTCAGGTACTCTGACTGGAGAACAAGAAGACACTGGAGCGACTCAGTGGCAGACACTCTCAGGCCCCACGAGATCCTCCAGGCCACTCGCCTTGCCGCCGACAGTGAACCGTCTCTCCGCGACGCCTAACAGTACAAGCGGAAGGGAAAAAAGACTTAAAAACCAAATTAATATCATTTCATCATTACTGATGAGAGCCCTCCGATTTCTCTAGTCATGATGAACAGTTGCACTCTCAAGAAGACTCCATGCTTTGAATGTCTATTAAACTTCACTCTAAACCTGAAGTGGAACTCGTGTATAGAATCCATTGCTAAAGATGATGCGAAAAATAGTCGACTAATTCCACCGTTCTAGAAAGGGCCTGAATACCTCTGTAATGTTTCATCTTTACAAGAGTCAGACCAGAAATGGAGTGTTGCTGCAATATCTGAGCCTTTATTTTCCATCCTTGACGATCTTAGAGAGGACTGTCCTTCTTCGAAACAAAGAACCTGCGCCTAACACCAGAAACCACATCACTTGAGGACTATCTCATATCGTTGATCAAAAATAGTTTCGAGTGAATCTACTCTGTAAGTCTTAACGAAGAACATCCGTCTTCACATCTCGAGGAATAGCGTTACAGAATCACAAACGAAAAAAGAAAAAAAACACTGCAAAATAACAGAAAACAATTCCCTTGTGGATTAACAAAGCAGCAAAAATTAAAACTGATATCACGTGTAAATCAAAGAGAAAATAATGACATAATCAAGAGGTTGACATTCCACACTACTTCAAACAAAAGGCTAGGAAAGAAACCCCCATTGAATATTTCAATTTCAGGAGCTCTTTTTGTTGGAACAACTGATTTATCATGATTATTTATACTTCCTCAGCTATGAACTCTGTAAGTCTTAGAGAGGGTCATCCTTTTCCAAACCTCGTAGACTGGCGCTACAGAATCACAATGAAAGAACTGTACCAAATAATAGAAACTACATCATTTGAGGACATTCAACACCCGCAACATGTAAAATGGATAGGATATGTAACTCAAAGAGAAAATAATGGCATAATCAAGATGTTGACATTCCACACTACTTCAAAGAAAAGGCTAGGAAAGAAACCCCCATCAATACTAGTTTTGAATATTTCAATTTCAGAAGGAGCCCTTTTTGTTGGAACAACTGATTTATCATGATTATTTATACTTCCTCAGCTATGAAATCTGTAGGTTTTAGAGAGGATCATCCTTTTCCAAACCTCGTAGACTGGCGCTACAGAATCACAATGAAAGAACTGTACCAAATAATAGAAACCATATCACTTGAGGACTTTCAACAGCAGCAACATGTAAAATGGATAGCATATGTAACTCAAAGAGAAAATAATGGCATAATCAAGATGTTGACATTCCACACAACTTCAAACAAAAGGCTAGGAAAGAAACCTCCATCAATATTAGTTTTGGATATTTTAATTTCAGAAGGAGCCCTTTTTGTTGGAACAACTGATTTATCATGATTACTTATACTTCTTCAGCTATGAACTCTGTAGGTCTTAGAGAGGATCATCCTTTTCCAAACCTCGTAGACTGGCGCTACAGAATCACAATGAAAGAACTGTACCAAATAATAGAAACTACATCATTTGAGGACTTTCAACACCCGCAACATGTAAAATGGATACCATATGTCACTCAAAGAGAAAATAATGGCATAATCAAGATGTTAAAATTCCACACTACTTCGAACAAAACGTTAGGAAGGAAGCTCCCCCCTCGATACTGGAAAGATCAATAAGAGTTATTTTCATGAAAGATTGCTTAATAGAAAGCTTTTATAAAATTCAACCAACAATAGCACCGGCTGTTTGTTTAATGAATGCCGAATGTTTCCTTATAGGAAAACAGCTAATATTGTTATTATCATTGTGTTTACGAAGTCTGTTCGGATTTTATCCAGCCATTTTTAATGTCTAGAGAACTGGCTACGTGGACTTGATGTAAGTTAACTAGAAACTTTTCCATTCTTTTATTCAGTCAGTGGTGAAACACAATTGAGGAGATTTATGTACATTGTGGCTGTCACATTAACAGTGATCGGGTTACTAAAGTCATGAGTTTTTGCAAAACAAACGCCTCACCACGTAAGCTTTTCGGGAGCGTATTTGGCTTTAGTATGCGAAACTCGTACTTACAAAAAAATCATTTATCAATCGTGCCAAATTCCTTATCCAAGAGATGTGAGTGGAATTTTGCGGTGCCGATGTGCCGAGAAGATGAGTCGTTTCTGGTCCTTCGATGTGGTTACTTGTCCTCTGCCTCTATACCGCTATTTAAATGCCGATTCTCCTCTGCTTATATTGGCAGTGATAGACTCAACAAGATCCATTCACGGTAGAAGGGCACTAATATGAGACTTATAAGGCGCATTTTACTAGTTATGGACTATTACGTAATATCAATCCTTATATATGGCAGTGAATGCGGGACAATCACTTAACAGATGAAGAAGAGACTTGAAGCAACAGAAATGAGGTTCTACAGAAGGGTTCTGAGAATAGCGTATGGCTGAACATTTAAGCAACGACGAATTTTAAAGAAAGATGCAAACAAAAAGGACATTTCTTGGAATAAAGTAACAGACAATTTAAGTTTTCTGGTGCACATAATGAGGAAAGGGTTTGTGGAATTTGACACTCACAGGGCATATTGAAGCCAAGAGGAAAACAGCGAATAATCTATCTAACAAGCTTGCGTAAATGGTTGACAGAAGAGGGAGGGAGAGAGAGAGAGAGAGGGAGAGAGAGAGAGAGAGAGAGAGTAAAAAGATAAACCTTAATAAAAGCGAGAAAGGATAGGAAGTAGGGGATAGGAAAATGTAAGACCTACAGGCTTCATTCACTCAAAACCCTTTTTCATCATTGATCTGAGAAAGCGAATGTATACAAATGACAGTTTAAATATTTATGAACGAGTTTGTCACCATGAATTGCATCCAGATGGAAGGCTCGATCTAACAAAGCTATTTAAGATTATGACTCAAGTTCTTAGGTTAATGTTTTGGTTTTGTAGCATCTTGTGGTGTTGGGCGAAACTATCCCTAGCGCAGTTTATTCTATGTTAAACCTCCTTATCCCCTATACTAAAGTTGCTATAACTGATTGTTATTGGATCCTCCCCATAATAACATAATGGACTATTCCATACGTCATAAATACTGCGCCTCAAGAGGAAGCAGGGAGTTCAGTCTGAAGTCGGGCGACCGGCTGATCGGTTGAACTCTCTTCCTTCGGGCGGGGAGGAACCCGAACGAGGCTTCGCTGAAGGGCGGAGTCTCTTTCGAGGAGGTAAACCGACCTTGAACCCGTTTATACGGGTTTAAAGGGCATATTTTTGGCCGAGCCCACGGGCTCGGAGATCCCACGGGCTCGGAGATCCCACGGGCTCGGAGATCCCACGCTCGGAGATCCCACGTTAAACCGGCCTTGTGCCACATGATGCCCTGGTGGGGGGGTGACTAAATACTGTTCAGTCTGAAGTCTGGAGTGAGGTCCATCAGAAGTCCGTCAGGAGTCAGTCAGAGCGAGTCAGTCAGTCGAGTCAGAGGCAGTCCGAAACAGAGTCGCGTTCAGGCAATTACTACAGGACATTGGAATAGTGATACTGGTCTAGACTACATTGTTCTTCCTACTAAACCTGATTGTTCGTACTAACACTTTCTACTTCTCTGTATATATTCCTGTTTGTAATATATCTGTGTTATTCCATATCCGTGTTCGAGTTCTTCTTTATTGGTTCTACCTTGGACCATCACCGTGGTACAAGGAACCGGACCATAACATTGATCCATACACCACGGTATTTAAAGTTTATTTTACTAAATCATCATCCTGATTTTTTAATGATGGATTCAGGGTTGATACAATCAGTGCTTTCATTCAAATTCCAGATCATTTTGGAAAATTTTATCTTGAATCTTACTTCTTGGAACACTTGATAGTAGATGTCGATTTTTTGTTCAAGATCATTTTTATCCCAAATATTTATATCTGCTATCAGCGTAGCCACCCTCATCATCAATACATTAGCCATGGGAAAGAAAACAGGGAATTTTTTTTTCTGCTAGCAGTTTCATTTGGGAAGTGGCATAGAATGTTTAGATGATCGGTGACCATCTCTTCACATCTGTGCTTGTGCTCATATAAAAAATCTTAAAATTACATATACAATTAATCTACTTCAATATTAAAAAGGGAATTTAAACGTTTATACTTACTGTGGAATAAAGTAATAAAGATCCTACTAACAGCAATTCTAGCATTGCCCAAAAACTATTGCATATAACCTGAAATAAAGAATAGAAAATCAATTAGAAAAACGACAGGTATTAAGCAAAAGAGAGAATGTTCATTTTATAAAAATACATAAAGATTAGTTTAGCATGTAACACAAAGTCTAAATTCATTTCGGCGATTATTCTGTCAGTAGGGCATAGAATACACCGATTAAATCCATTGCAGAGGGATAAGACTCCCAATGAAAACCGGCCAACATCTAAGTGGATAATTGCAGACTACAGTATAAACCCGACCATAGTATAAGCCGGGCATCTGTCTAATTCTTTTGTAAACCCAAGTTATATCTATCATTTTCGTTCCTGACCTGATGGTTCAGTTTCAGTTATTTTCCTATCCCTGTGTCTTTTCTACAAATACTTTCATGGTAATTGTTCGGATGAGCTCCCCGCCCCCAATAGGCCTGAATTGTACATATGAAGACAGCATTTTCATAGAGACACGGAGGTATTATGGTGGATGTTGTAAGAATAGCAAGTAAGAATACGTTGTTTTGGTGTAAGGAATATTATTAAAATACACCTTTAAATGCCAAATCTAGATGCGTCGTCAGTGTTGTTGCTCCCATGTCACTAGAAGTTTTGGGTCTAAATAAACAACAGACTTCTTCGATGGGTGACCCGACCGAATATGATCAGTATTCGGCCCGCACCTAGAACAAAAATTTGCCACTAGCTTTAAGACGTGAATTATATAAGTTGCCCCAGTAGACAACAACCAATCAAGACTTCACTTGGGGTATTCGATGTTATAAATTAGGTATGCATGGTTGGATTGATCTCCCGACATGCGGCCAAGAATGGGTGTTTTTTTTGGAAGAATAGAAGAAAACAAACGAATAAATACACACACACACACACAAAAACACACACAGACACACACACACGCACACACACACACACACACACACACACACATATATATATATATATATATATATATATATATATATATATATTATAAATTAATTGATTTAAAATATGGTTTTTTCTCTACACAGTTCTAAACATGTTTCAAAAAAAATGGAAGCTAAAAAGCCACGAATTTAATTTTGTGAAAATTCGCTTGAGGATGAAATGGAACTAATGTCTTTAATTTAATCACAAAATTAAATTCGTGGCTTTTAGGTTCCATTTTTGAAACAGGGTTAGAACTGTGTAGCGAAAAAAAACATATTTTAAATCAATTAATTTATAATATTAATGCTCTGTAAATTTACATTGAGCACTATTTTGTAAAAATAAAAATATCTATAAGAACACCGGATTATATATCTTGCTGTTCTTTTCTTTATATATATATATATATATATATATATATATATATATATATATATATATATATATATATACAAACACACACACACATATATATACAAACAAAAAACAAACAAACAAAAAACGATTTATTATTTTGGCTCGTCTTGCGACTTATTTGTTTGGTCTTTCTTTTCTTTTTACTTTTTATTCTAATATATTCTAATTTTAATATTGTGGGATGTTTTGGTTAGTGATCTTGGCGAGCTCAGTTTTAATGTTAAAACAGAAGAAGACCTTTCTTTTTCCCATTCCATATTTTGGCCTTGTGCCACATTTCTGTACAGAAGCTGAATAAATAGCGCTCTTCGTTATGGTATCTAGACTTTTTGAATTTAAACGCAGTACGAGCTTGGCGCCAAGATCTCTTCAATTTACAGTTGAGATGGTTCGAGTTCATCGTAAACTCTTGACTAACAGTTTCTTTTCTCGCACTTCTCGCTTGTGGAACTCCCTTCCGGCTCCATGCTTTCCAGCAAATTTTAATCTGTGAAAATTTAAATGCAATATCAATCGCTATCTACTATCCTCCTGATTACTCTTTTCTCTTTCCATTCATTATTAATGTTTCTGTTCCTAATTTTTCCACACCTGTAACCCCTTGTGCTTTAGTGGCTTTATTGCTGTGCATGGGGTGAAACAGATCCCCCCCCCAAAAAAAAAAACAGATTTTTAATGTAAACCGGAACAAATATCAATGCCCCCGTATCATTTTACCGCAGGTGTCTTTCAGGAGGACAAAAATTCCCAAAGTTAACAGTTTAAATCTTTTCTTAATGTCAGTTACTATAGATCAGTGATTCTATAGGGGTTTCAAGAGAAACAGTGATAAATAGAGTAATATATTTTGAGTAAGTTTTTGTTTAATTTTATATTCGTACTTTTACTATACACACACGGCATATTGTTGGAAAATCCTTGGTTATTATAATAGAGGCTTCAACCTTTTATATTATTTAAAATTATAATAATCACAGGCAATGTATTTAGCGACATTTGTATGGCGTTTTATGAAATTTTTATGCAGGTGGTCCCTTTGACATAAAAAAAAATATTTCAAAAACTCCACAAGGGTAAAAACGTTTGAGAAACGCTGTTATAGACAATAGGCTTCCTACTATCATCTCTTTCATTTATGTCTTACATCTCATTCAGCATTACTAATTTGACTGTAACCATCTATCTTGAGTGGCTCCTGGGCCTTGTATTGGATGAAATTTCGTAAAAATATACAAATATTTCCCCAACACCATTTGACAGCATGCGAATATATCCGACAAAAGGGAAGACTGTTTAACTCTGAAAAACAAATAAGGACTTGACCAGGACAACGACGGGTGTCACTGCTGGTTCTTACTAAAATATATCAAAATATCCACGTCGATTACTGTTGTCACATTCACGTTTTCATTTTTTTTCTTTTCTTCTCTGTGCCGTCTTCTGTCAGGTCGTTGGCGATCATGGCTCTCCACAATTTCCTCTCCTTTGTAGCTCTTAATAAATTCTGTCTTTTAGTTAGCTCTCCTCCTGCCATTAATTTACTCAAGTTTGCTAGTTAGGTCTGTCTCTCTTGCCTTCAATCTGCTCTGAGAGTATCAAATTTTCCAAGTCCTCTTTCCTCATTATGTGCCCTAGAAATATCAACTATCTCTTTCTGATGTTAAGCACAAGTTTCTTGTTTTTTGTTGCCATTTTCTCTAAAACATTATCGTTGCTCCCATGTTCCGTCCATGGTATTCTCAGCATTCTGTAGAACCACATTTTTGTTGCTTCAAATCTCTTTTTCATCTGTGAGCATGTCCAGTATATATATATATATATATATATATATATATATATATATATATATATATATATATATATATATATCAGGGAAAGGTTATAGCTGTTCCAACGAGAGAAATGTTTAAATTATAAAGAAAAGAGAGAAGCCGTAAATGTTTTTGGTTATAATGTGGATTTTTAAAATATATATTATACTTTATTTCCATATTTTTGCTACACGTTTTTCGGATCTTGTGAAGAGTAGTTATTTCCAGATATTATTTAAAGGTATTAATTTTTCCTGGTGTTTTCCGATGTTTAATCATTGTCTTTTAAGTAGTAATTCAAATTTTCTTGGACTTGAGAAAATTCAAGTCCAAGAAAATTTGAATACTACTACACACGCTTTCTGTTTAATATATATATATATATATATATATATATATATATATATATATATATATATATGATAGGAAACAGAAACAATAGGAAACAGATCTTAATTTAACATGTTTCACTTTATTAAAGCTTCATCAGAGATCAAGATAGAAATGATAAAGAATGATAAAAAGCAAAGAGACGCAGATTAATGGTATGTGTTAGGCTATTTCTTATTGCTTAGATACGTGTTTCGTTTAATGAAGTAACAGATACTATTGAAATATGTGTGGTAGATATTCTCTACGCTAAAATGTGTAAAAGTTAGTAAGATGCAGTAGGATGCTTTCATTGGATACGTGTCACGTTTAAGGAAGTAACAGATAATATTCAAATAAGTGTAATAAATTATTCTGGATGTTAAAGTATATAAAGATTGGTGAGACGCTGCAGGATATTTTGAAGAATTTTTCATTAGAGTATATCTATTGACTTTCATGTATTCGGAAGAGATAAGTTAGATTCATGATAAGTTATACTGACACACACACACACACACACACACACACACACACACACACACACACACACACACACACACACACGCACGCATATGAAGAGTGATACGACGTAACGGTTCTATTCGTTTTTCTTTGTTTTTAACTGAATTTTACTGTTTCTTAATGCTTTGCTTAGCTTTTCGAATGCATCTTTCGCTAATGCGCCTTTGGATTTCAGTGTCACACTTTCCGTCTTCTGTTAAACCACTTCCCAGATATTTCAAATGTCGTAGTTGCTTTTATTTTGGTATCTCCAATTTGTAATTTGCATGTTGAGCTGTTCCTTTTGTTAACAACAAGACATTCTGTCTTGCAATTGATGTCAAATCCTTTCTTATCGCTTTCCTTCACTACTTTCTGTAGGAATTCTTTTAGTTTTCTTTCTGTATCTGTTATCAACACTGTCATCTACATATCTTATGTTGTTAAGACTGTAGCCATCAATAATGAATCCTTCTAGGACTTCGTCTCAGACATGAAGTAAATATGACCAACAGTGATTATGAAATCGTGAAAAGTGTCTTAAAGATGTGATCAAGAGATAAGGTCAATATTTTAAGAATTCATGAATTAAAAAAGAAAATCATGGCCAGATATCTGTTGGCATTTAAAAGACTCTCTTTAGTACTATTTTCTCTCCTTTTTATAAATGGTGAAAACAAGTTATCTCATTAAAAATGATCCTCTCATTAAAAGCATTTTTGTCTTATTATTCTTTATAAAATATTCGACTGCAATCTGAGTGGCCATCCTTGCAACTACCGGGAAGGCAGGATTATCGTCTAATAAATTATACACGCAACAAATCGGTGAGAAGTATTTTTGTTAAACTTCTTCCCGCCAAGCCCCTCGTCACCGTTCCTCTGAGAGACATCGCGACGCAACGTTTTTGTTTTCTTTCTTAAATTCTTTTCTTGTTTTTTTTTTTCTTCTTTTTCTATTTGTGTTTCGCAGGTTTTTGGCCAAAAGTCA